CCCCTCCTTGCAAGGAGCTTACTGCTGTGGGGCTAGTGCCGAACCCTCAACCCAAACCCTAAACCCTCAAACCCTAAACCCCTAAACCCCTCAAACCCTATAAGCCCTAAGCCCACATTTGCTTTCGCGAAGGCAGTGGCCAGCTCGCTTACGACATCCAGGTGGCATTTCACCGGGGCTACAGGTTGTGTTTTCAGTCTTCCCGGGTTTGGGGGTTTAGTAGGGTTAAAAAAGCCAAAACCCTAAACCCGAATTTAGGGTTTAGGGTTTAGAGTTTAGGGTTTCGTGTTTAGGGATGCACATTCTCAGGGCTGAAGGTTTGGGGGCTTCGTGGCTCTGGGGGGCTGATGGGCTTAGAGGAGCATGCGGGTTGATGCTTTGATGCTTTTCGGGTTGGAAGGTTTAGGGTTCGAGGGTTTTGGGGGTTTAGGGTTGGAAGTTCACAGGGGTGCTTAGTTTATGTGGCTGTAAGAGGTTCCGGAAACCCTATACCCGAAACCCCAAACCTTCAACCCTAAACCCAAAACCCTAACTCATAAACCCTAAACCCCAAGCCCTAAACCCTAAACCCTAAAGGGCGCAGACCCTCAGCCGCCGGCAGGCGTGCATCAAGCAGAATGCGCTGGGCCTGGAGCCATCGGTATGGAGGCTTCTGCTTTTTCATTTTTATTTAGCGGGGGGGGGGGGGGCGGGGTAGGGTTTAGGGTTTAATTCGGGTTTAGGGTTTAGGGTTTGGGGTTTAGGGTTTAGGGTTTAGGGCTTATGCTTAGGGTTTAGGGTTTGGGGTTTCTCATGCTCTGCGCACACCACCACGCGGAACGTGTGTTTCTCTCCCAGCCCACCCACCCAAATCTCAACCTTGACGGGTTTAGGGTTTTCATTTGGCTGTTCGGCCTTCCCTGACTCGCTTTCCCTACATAGCTTTCCCCATGGCCGCCCTCGCCGCACAGAACAATACTGCAGGCTTGTGATCAAAGAGGGTAGTCACCCGCGCGCGCGGAAGGAGGCCCAGCAGAAAGAAGAGAGGAGGGCGCGCGATTCTGTGTAGACTTCCCAGGGGCTCCTGGAGGTAGGGCCTGCCTCGTATGACTCAGTCCAATCGAGGCTGAGGCCGAAGGGGGCACAACTTCGGAGCCGGACGCAGGCCTGCGCTTGTGTGTCCTCCACAGACAGAAGAGGGCCGTAATCAATTTCAGGAAGGAATAAGCGGTCAGGAAAGAGGAGAGCGCGTGAACAGGTGCGGACGTCCCAGCATTGCCTGAAGGCAGGGCAGGCTTATTCCCAGCTCACTTAGAGCGCTGCAAGCCACCGCCAGATATTTGTGGAAGTCTTACTTTGACGTCGCAAGCTATCGGGCAGCGCCGCAGAAGCCGTCGCCGCTGTGGCCAGCTCGCGACTGCAGCCTCGCAACACAACGGTGGCTGCAAACTCAGGGTCACCACCGTTCCCGGACGACCCCGAAGAACCAGCTGCCCTGTTTGGCTCTGATGTCATGGTCCGAGGCCTCGACATGGCTGCACTTCTCGAAGACGCTGCAGCACGGCGGCAAGGTCTTCGTGCAGTCGCGCACGCGGACAAGCGCCGTCGCGCAGGTCGGCTGAACGCGAGATGCCCGAACTTAGCCCCAAGCTTTTGAACACCCTGTACCTCAAGCCCGAATGTATTTTGACCAGTGCAAGAGAACGCGCGCCAGGCGAGCCTCCAAGAGAAGAGGTCCTGTGGGAAGACGTCCTCGAGACTCTGGAGAGTTGGTAGACCCAGGGTCGGAACGGTCAGAAGGGTGCTCTTTCTAGAGAGTTGCTGTGCCCTGACTGAGGCTGGTGGACCACAGTTCTCACGCGGGATCGCTTCAAAGAGCACGATGGGCCGGACCCGCTGCAAGAAGTCTATCTGTGACCCCCGCCCTCGAGTTCGTGGCCGGATCCTCGACAGAACAGGAAGCTTGCGCGCGTGGCTGCCTGCGGTGAGGCAGAGCACCTGCACTGCAGCCGCCCTGCGCTCGCTCGCCACCTCATGGGCGTGCGAGGCTACGTGTGCCAGCAGGAACTGTCAAGACTGAAAGCCGACAGGCGGCGGCCGCCGCCAAGCTCGGCCCCGACGAGCGGCCGGCGCAGTTGGCGAGGCTGCCGTCGTCTGAGCTGAACTTAAGTAGCAGCCTTCGAAACCCAAAGACAGAGCCTGGTAGCCTCAGCTTGTGGTGTTGGGGCCCAAAAGCGTCCCGCCCGGTTTGCACACTTCAAGTTAGCGTACATAATATACACGCCCGTGAAACTCATGTTCCCGAACTGGGACGAAGAAGGGATAAAAATGCTTCGAGGCGAAAGCGAAACAGCTGCTGGAGCTGCAGCGGGAGGTCAAGAAACGCCGTGAGGCCTGGTGGGCGATTCGCGCACAGGTCCGTGGTGCAGAGTGCTGCCGGCATGCTTGCCGCCAGGACCTGGAGCGCTGGCGGGACACGGCCAAGCTGACGAACCGCCAAAAGAAGCGCACGGACCTGAAAGACAGAGCCGCTGCGGACGACGAGGAGGCCCGACTGTCCGCCACTGTCACTGCTTTGGAGGTTGCTGGGTGCTCTCGTCTAGGCGTGCACTTCATCGCTCATTGGCTGGCGAAAGCCACGGATCCCGGTCCTGGTCCTTGAAACCCAAAAACATGTCAGGCAGCCACGCCGGAGCTCGTTTCGCGAGAAGTGGGCAGGCTGCCGCACGGCTGCACGGGGCAGCCCTGAATCAGTTGCGCCACGACAGGTCGCCAAGGCGAAGCCGAAGGAAAAGACGGCTCTTGGGGCACAGCAAAGCACGCGTGACGCTGATTTTCTCGGTGCGTGCCCCTACCTGGTAGAGCCCGGCGCAGGACACCCCAAAACTCAAACCCTAAACCCTTGCCCGACACCCTAAGCCCCAAACAATTCCTTGCTTCAGGGGTCAGGGCTTCGGGAGAGCGGTTTAGGGTTATATCATCGGGTTTTAGCGGTGTGTAGGGTGTATAGGGTGTAGAGGGTTAACAGTGTTGAGGGTTTGTCTCGGGTTTAGAGTTACGCAGTCAACAAGAGGCGCTTCGTAGCAGCCTTCGAGTACGTGATCATGGAACGGCCGGGGGGCTCTGGTTTTGGGGACTCTGGGGTTCAGTGCCTTTAGGGTCCTTTTGGGCTTGGTTTAGGGGTTTAGGGTCTAGTTTGGCATGTCCCCCTTTATACTAATCGTCCTTAACAGGGATTATCGTCCTCCCTACTGGATTAAGGACTGTTAGTTTGTAGGGCGAACATCCCAACCCCTAAGCCCTAAACCCTATACCCTATACCCTAAACCCTAAACCCCACTAAGATCATCAGACGGTTTAGTTTAAGAGTTTACTTAGTCATAGTTGGGTACCATTTTACAT